AAAAATTTTTTTTTAAATTTACATTCAGTCCCTGAGCATCATCACATCATACTAAATGTGGTTTCCCCTCTAGAATAAACTGCATAGTGGCTTAATCATGCATGTTATCATCCATAAAATTCCATTACTACTTTCATATATATATGTTTTTTACCCTATGTCTGACCCTCTGCCCCATTTCACTCTCTTATTACACTCTCTCTGCTGTCTACAGTTATCTTCAATTCCTTTTCCCCCAACATTTCGTTGATAACACAATATCATAAGTAATCTAACTACTTACAATAGCAACTTCAGCTGATGGTTTCAAAAAAAGCAGTTTTGAACTGGTAAGGATATTTCCTTGAAACTTAAGGCCTAGAAACTGGTTAGTATTCTGTTCAAATAGTAGGTACATGAATCCATTGACAGCTCAAGACAGGACAAAAGTCCTTAGAACCGGACAACAAAGCTTAGAAGAAAAGCAGCAATATTTTAGTCAAGTCATAGAATGCTGTTTCATCAGTTCAGTCTCATGTACTTAATTTTCTTCTGTTTCTGTTGAGGTTCGATCTTCCAGATTGAACTCTGAGATATAATACTCAACTCCAGACTTTGTCCCTACAATTAAGTTGCCCATTTTCTTAGTTTCTGAACTCTTATTTCTGTGTGTCTGCATTTAATTTTACTGACATAGCACTTCCTTAAGAACTTCTTGGAGATCTGGTCTGGTGCTGGTAAACTCTTTCAGATCTTGTTTATTTAAGAATGTTCGTGTCTTTTCTTCCCAAATGAACGATAATCTTGCTGGGTACAGAATTCTCGGTTGAAATTGCTTTTCCCTTAATGCTTTGAATATATTCTCCCATTCTCTCCTCGCTCGCAATGTTTCTGATGAGAGGTCTGCCGTTAGTCTGATGGGATACCCTTTGTAGGTAACTTGCCGTTTTTCTCTTGCCAGTCTTAGTATCTTGTCTTTGTCTGTGGTTTTGGTCAATCTAGCTATAATGTGTCTAGGAGAAGATCTTCTTGGGTTGATTCTATTTGGGGTCCTCTGTATTTCTTGGGAATGGATCTTTGAGTGCCTCTCCAGGTTTGGAAAGTTTTCTTGCAGGATTTCATGGAATAGATTATCAATGCCCTTATGAGTCTCTTCACCCTCTGGGATGCCTATTATCCGGATGTTTGGACGTTTAATTGTATCTAGTACTTCTCGCATATTATTCTCAAATTTTTGGGCCATTTTCTCAGTCTTCGCGGTGGATTTTTCTAGGCCAACCATTTTCTCTTCTACATTAGAGATTCTATTTTCTGTATGATCTAGTCTGCTTTTAATACTTTCAAGGGAGATTTTGACTTCTTGTATTATAGCCTTCATCTCTAACAGTTCCATCTGATTCTTTTGTAAAGTGTGAAATTCCTCTTTTAGATCTTGCATGAATTTCCTCACCTCCTGGAACTCTTCAACTCCTTTCTCCTTCCTCTTCAGCAGTTCCTTGTCTCTCTTCTCTTCCATCTCTGTTAGCTTTGCCATTATGAACGTTCTGAATTCTTTATCAGACATTTCCATGATTTCCATGGAACTCTGTGTGGATGAAGAGCAGCTATCTGTTTCCCTTGTGGGAGAGGTATTTTCCTGCTTCCCCATATTTCTTGTGCTCCTGCAGTGATTTCTAGTCATCTGGTGGATGATCAGTTTCTTCCCAAACTTGGAAGTTCAATCAGAGGGTCGAGGAGTGTGCAGAAAAGAAAACAGAGAGAGGGAAACAACAGCAAAAACACCAGACAAGACACAGAGAAAAAGAAGAGAAAAACTTTAAAAAAAATTAATATTCAAAAAATTTTAATACAACTCAAAAATTGGAAAACCACGCAGCACGCTTGTGCGCTGCGTGAAATGGCTAGATCACAGGAGCCATGGAGCTGTCTGTCTCTTGAAGAAGGGCTGTTCTGGGAGGAGGAGAGGGGATTATTAACAAGATAATGACCTAGGAGGAGCCAAAAGGCCCTGTAAAGTGCCTCACCTTAAAAAATTCGAAAAAGCAAAAATTAAAAAAAAAAAAAAAAAAAGACAGAGAGAGAGAGAGAGAGAGAGAGGACAGGTAGAGAGAGACAAAGAGTGATACAGAGACAGGAGACTTGTAAGTGGTATTCCTACCACACGAGTTTTGTATGCTGGAGGCCCAGTTATCAGTGGGACATCTTCCTTTTTCCCAAATGGCTAGATCGCAGGAGTCATGGAGCTATCTGTCTCTTCAATACCTGAGTGATTCTTGCAAGTTTGGTGACATTTTGCTATTATTTTTGATGACATTTTACATTAAATTTAATTCAACAAATATATTGTGATAGGTATTTTACCACTGTGCCACTGTTAAGTCCCTATATTTTTCAATCTTTTTTTTTTTTTGGAGACGTTTTTGCTATAGAGCACATGAGCTTGCCAGAAAGATAGAGAGACAGGGAGACAGAAAGTGAGAAATCACCCCCTGGGAGGATGGCCACGCCACAATCCCTTTTTCTCCATTCTCCTCTCAGGATCTTGGGCACGCACACATATGCGCCTGATGTGCGTTTAAGCCACCAGGTCCGAGACTTAAACCTTGGTCAACTACATAGGAGTTCAGTGACATAGCCATTACACCAACTACTGGTCCCTCAAATTTGTACCAAATATAGCACCATTATGAATGAACTTATTTGTATATGAAACTTCTATGGATTTTGAATTATACTCTGGCTTTGATTAATATGAATTAATTACTGTATCTAAAATTAAGAATGCTGTGAAGGCTGGTGCAGGCAGGTGGCATAGTGGTTAAGGTGCTGAACTCTCACATGGTTGACTGTGGTTCGAGTCCCAGACCTGTTTGCTTGAAACTCATGCTGGGTGCATGGCACGCCCAAAATCTGGAAAGGGGAATGGAGGAGAAGGGATTGCGGTGTGGCCATCCCCCCCGGTGGGTGATTTCTTGCTTTCTGTGTGTGTCTCTGGTGAGCACACCCACCATACAGCAAAAATATCTCTCTCAAAGGAAAACAAACAAACAAAAATGTTGTTAAGGCTTTTGATATGCGTTTCCAATTTGCTTTTTGAGCATGTTGATTGAATGATCAAGCTTTCTGTTCTTTGAGGAAGGACTGTGGGGAGGAGGATGGAAGAAGGAGATGAGTACAGGCGGTAAAGGATGTTAAAGTAACAAGAAAAAGATGAAGAAGCCACTGTTTACCTGAAGTTTGATTTTTAAGATAAGGTGGCCATTTTCTATCCCTGTTTTTTGGGGTAAGGTGGTGATATTTTGCCCTAGGGCACATGTGCTCTCCAGAGACAGAGAGAAGGAAAAAGAGAAATCATACCCCTAGGAGTGTGGCCATGCCAAAATCCGTTCTCCTCCATTCTCCTCTTGGGATTCTGGGTACACACACATGTGCGAGATTTTCAAGCCACCGAGTCTGGGACTCAAACCTTGGTTAGCCATGTGGGATGGCCATGTGGGAGTCCAGCACTTTATCCACCACACTACCTGCTGGCCCCTCTATCTCTTTTAATATACAATTTTAGTTAACAGTCAAGAAACCTTCTCTGGAAAGGATTACACTTGACTGTGGTAAATAGTTTCTGTCGTGGGTATTCAGTTCTGCCATCACGGTGCAAAACCAGCGCTAGACCTTCAACTGAGCATGTGCGTGCTCCACACATGCATCGATGTTCATGAGGGACGTTGGCCTGTATTTCCTTGTCATGCCTGTGTGTGTACGGTATTATGGCGATGCTGTCCTCGTAGAATCAACAGGAAAGTGCGTAGAGCTGGTATTTATTTATTTGATAAATAGTTGGTGGAATTTATCAATGAAGTCATTGAGTTTTGGTGGGAAGGTTTCTTTTTCATTAAAGAATTATTTTTTATTAGACTTTATTTAACAATTTGTTTATTTAATTTGACCAGAGAGGGACGACAGAGTGAGAGAGAGAGGAAGTGAGAAAATAAGCCACCAGGTCCCGTACTTAAACCATGGTGGAGTCCAGCACCCTTAGCCACCACGCCACCTGCTGGTCTCCCAGTGAGAATGTTTTAATTATATGAGAGAACTCCCAGCAGAGTTTTTATTTATTTATTTATTTATTTATTTATTTATTTTTTGAGAGGTTTTCGCTATAGGGCACGTGCACTTGCCAGACAGACACTTCCCAGGGGAGATGGCCACGCCGTAGTCCCTTCTCCTCTATTCTCCTCTTGGGATCTTGGGCACGCATGCACATGTGCCATCATGAGTTTAAGCCACCAGGTCCAGGACTCGAACCGTGGTTGACTATGTGAGAGTTAAGCGACATAGCCATTATGCCAACTGCTGGTCCTCCAGCAGGGTCTTGAAGCTGCAGTTCACCCGAGTCTCAGCCAGCCCTGGACCATGGGCATGCGTGTGTCCAGAGTAGTCAGGGAGGTCTCTGAAGGCAAGCCTGGAGGGTGGTACAGAGGCAATGCTTGCAGAGTGTCACATTTTACATCGAATTGTATACTTTATTTTTTAAAAGAATTATTTATTTACGCATTCATTTATTTTAATTTGACCAGAAGGAGACACAGAGAGAGAGGGAAAGTGAGAAAGCAAGCCACCAGGTCCGGGACTTGAACCATGGTCAGCCATGTGAGAGTGTCCAGCACCGTAACCACCACGCCACCTGCTGGTCCCTGAACTGTATACTTTAAATGAATGGATTGTATAGTAAGTAAATCAAGCTCAATAAAGCTGGAAATCACAGCTATAAATAAATGACTGTAACCATTTATAAAGCAATTCATTGTTCCTCGTGTGGAAAACGCTCAGCAATACAGGTAAGCCACCATATCTGCTCTCGCAGGCCTGCGGATCACTGTTGGTAAATATCGTTCAAATTCTTGCTTGTTTCACTCACTTCTCCTCGCTTCTAATATTTCAGGGCTCTATATTACTACAGCTGTGGAAGAGAGTCTGCAATTTGGGACACCCCTCTCCCCGCCTTGTTCAGCCAGCCCTCTAAAAGAATCCAAAGGCTGTCACAGCCCAATAGATTAAGTCAGTACCTCCTAAGCAGGTAGAGTATCGAGAATTTGCATGCCTCCTGACCTAACTTAGTTAAATGTCACATTATTGTCGCTCTAATTTTACTGCGTGCAATTTCATAAGTCCTCTTGTGTCCCAAAGCATCAAGTTAAAAGATGAAATATGGGACCAATAGGTGGTGGGGTGGTTACAGTACTGGATTCCCACATGTTTGACTACAGTTTGAGTCCCAGACCCAGTGGCTTGAAAAGCATACGGTGTGTGTGTGTGTGTGTGTGTGTGTGTGTGTGTGTGTGTGTGCATATTCCCAAAATCTCAGGAGGAGAATGGAGAAGGGATTGCAGCACGGCCATCCCCCTGGGGGTGATTTCTTGCTTTCTGTCTCTCTGTCTCTCTGGTGAGTGCATGTGCCCTATAGCAATAATCTCCCTTATGAAAAAAAAGGAAAAGAAAAGAAATAGGTAAATGAAATGTTGAAGCTTCTGGACCTACGTTATATGTGACAAATAGTTTTAAAAAATGACATATTGGGGTTAGCTGGTGGTGCGGTAGTTAAGGTGCTGGACTCCCATGTGGTAGACTGCAGTTCGAGTCCCAGACCTGGCAGCTTGCTTTATCACTTTCCCTCTCTCTCTCTGGTGAGCACACATCTACAGCAGGTTAAATAATGATAGTAAATTAAACAAATAACTGAAAAAAAGAAATAACATATTTAGTTTAGAGAAGAGACCCAGGAAACAGTAATAGCTATGTTCCAATGTTTAAAGTGTTGGCCTCTGAACGAGGAGGACATAAACCGACTTTATGTTGATCCCAGAACTGGAACAAAGACTTTTTAGAACAGCAGATGTCAGCTAGGTGTAGGAAAGTCTTTCTGACTTGCTATTCAGTGATGGAAAGAATTATCTGGAAAAGTAAACCGCTGTCTCCACCTCAATCACTGAAAGTTTTCAAGCTCAGGCTGGAAGGATGACTTTGCCTGTATTTTAGACCTCTACATCTGAAAGAAATCCAACGGCCCACCTTGAATTTTCTATCACAGAATCTTGTGAAGAGGCCTAGTGGACCCCAGAAAATGTCTTCCTTGTTTATTCACTTATCAGTACAGCCAACAAAATCTCCTTAATTTGGCTAGAATATACATGTAAATTTGGTAGTTATACAGCATAATTATAAGCCAAGGGATACTTTTTTGAGAGACCTGAGTTTGATGTTTCATATAAGCAAAATCTCTTAAGTACTAAAACTTTATTTATATATATTTTAAAGTTTTTGTTATAGGGCATGTGTGCTCACCACAGGGAGATGGAATGGCGAGAGATCACTCCCCCGCCCCCCCAGTGGGGATGCCATGCCGTGTTCTCCTCCATTCTCCTCTTGGGATTTTTGGCACACACTTATGCACATGCGCTGTGTGGTTTTCAAGTCACAGGGTCTGGAATTTGAACTGTGCAGCCAGCCTAGTGGAATCCAGAACTTTAACCTCCATGCCACCTGCTGGTCCTGAAATTTTCTAAATTTTAGAGTTTATTTCCCTGCTTTCCTAAACTAACTCTTCCACTACTGAATGTTTTTGTAGACTTTGTTCAGTGATTTAAGATCTTGATTGTGAACATCGACTAGTATATAGTACTTTTAAAAACGTTTATTTATTTTAATAATTATAGGGACTGTGTGTGTGCTCATGAAAGAGAGAGGAAAGAGAGAGAGGGAGAGACCTTTAACAGGATCTCGTCATGCCACAATTCCCCTGCCCTAGCCCGTCACCTCGTTAGTATCTTGTGTCTGCCATGTTTCCAAGACAACCAAGGAGCGTGAACCCGCGGTTGGCCGTGCGGCTTCAGGTACTGTAGTCTGGTTTGCTCCCAGCTGTGCTGGGCCTATTAGACAGTACTGTACTAGAGGAAATGACCAGGAGCTGTTTAAGTATGGAGCATAGTGTTTCCTTTTGGTAAATGTTCTGATTTCTGTGTTTAGATTATGAGACATTTGCTTCTCTGTTTCCGTATCATTTCTTTTTGGTCACAAAAATAGTCTCTAACCAGCCCCTTTTTTTTTTTTTTTAATCTTTTATGAATTGAAAACTGATAACCACACGTGTTAAAAATTAAGCAAAGAGGCAAAAAGGCAAGTGCTTCAGGAAGATACGCAGGCCTCTTGAATAAATGGACTATGTGAGCTTGGCTTTCGTGGCGTGGATTTTAGCTGGTTAACTAGAGGGTCTCGACAGCAGGTTTGAGCAGGCAGAAGAAAGAATCAGCAAAGATAGGTCAATATAGATGATCGAGTCTGAGGACCAGAAAGGAAAAAAAAAAATGTGGAAGAGCCTCGGAGACCTGAGGACCACCCTCACCAGCCCCTTTTTTTTTTTTTTTAATCTTTTATGAATTGAAAACTGATAACCACACGTGTTAAAAATTAAGCAAAGAGGCAAAAAGGCAAGTGCTTCAGGAAGATACGCAGGCCTCTTGAATAAATGGACTATGTGAGCTTGGCTTTCGTGGCGTGGATTTTAGCTGGTTAACTAGAGGGTCTCGACAGCAGGTTTGAGCAGGCAGAAGAAAGAATCAGCAAAGATAGGTCAATATAGATGATCGAGTCTGAGGACCAGAAAGGAAAAAAAAAAATGTGGAAGAGCCTCGGAGACCTGAGGACCACCCTCAAGGGTATCAACATATTCACGAGCATCTCCTAAGGAGTGGAAAGAGAGGAAGGGGCAGAATGAATGAACCAAGAAATAGTGGCCAGGGACATCCCAAATTTCGTAAAAAAAAAAAAAGAAAACCAGAAAACATTATATGTATATAAGTATGTATATAAGTACATGCAGCAAGAGAGACAAACTCATGTCATAGACTCTGTAATAAGGTTTAAACGTGATTTCTTGGGGCCAGTACGTGGTGTGGTGGTTAAGGCACTGGACTCCCACATGGCCAACTGTGGTACAAGTCCCAGACCTGGTGGCTTGCTTTCTCATTTTTCCTCTCTCTTTCTCTCTCTCTCTCTGGTCAAATTAAAAATTAATAAATAAATACATAAATAATATTATATCATTCTCTTTTAACGAAGTGATTTCTCCTCAGAAACTTTGGCATCCAGAAAGCGATGAACTTGTCATATTTAAAAATGTCATATTTGGGACCAGGAGATGGCAGAATGGTTATGTTGCTGGAATCCCATGTAGTCTACCACAGGTCAAGTCCTGGACCTGGTGACTTAAAACTCATATCGTGTGCATGTGCGTGTGTGCCCAAGATCCTGAGATGAGAATGGAATAGCAGGGATTATGGCGTGGCCACCCCCCGCCACCCACCCTGGAGAATGATTTCTCACTTTCTGTTTCTCTGTCTATCTCTATCTCTCTAGCAAGTGCACATACTTTAGCAAAAAAACCCTCTTAGTTAAAAAGTAAATAAATAAAATTTTAAAAATGCAATGCCATATTTAAAGTACTGCAAGAGAAAGACAATCTGCTAAAAGTACTCTATCTAGTAAAACTTTCTTTCAAAATGGAGAAATTAAGACTTTGAAGATAAAATACCCTGGTATATATGGAACAATTTGCACCAAACATACTAACAAACTAAATCCAACAACATATCAAAATAATTATACTTCACGACAAAGTTGACTTTATCCTAGGAGTGCGAGAATTTGCTGGGTCCAGATATTAAAATCAATATACACCAAATAAGGGGACCAGCAGATGGCGTAATGGCTATGTCACTGGACTTCCATGTAGTTGACCACAGTTCAAGTCCCAGACCCAGTGGCTTAAAATTCATGCCACGTGTGTGAGCGTGTCCAAAATCCCAAGAGGCAAATGGAGGAGAAAAGATTGTGGTATGGCCATCCTCCTTGGATTTCTCACTGTCTCTTTGTCTCTTTCTGTCTCTCTGGTGAGAACACATGCCCTATGGCAAAAATCTCTCAAAAAAATTAAATATATATATACACACACACACACCAAATAATAAGAATTTTTTTTTTAGGAGGTTTTTGCTATAGGGCATGTGCGCTGGCCAGAAAGACAGAGAGAGACAGAGAGACAGAAATTGAGAAATTACCCCCCAAGGGGGATGTTCACACTGCAATCCCTTCTCCTCCATTCTCCTCTCGGAATCTTGGCCATGTACGCACACACGCCCGGCATGAGTTTAAGCCACCAGGTCCAGGACTCAAACCGCGGTCAACTACATGGGAGTTCAGCGACACAGCCATTACACTAACTGCTGGTCCCATAAGAAGAACTTTTTTAAAAAAGGTCATCTCAACAGATGCAGAAAAAGCACTTGACAAAGTTCAACACATTTTTATGATTGAATGTTCAACTCAGTGTAGACAGAAATCTGTCTTCTTAAAGGGCTTCTGTCATGGCCAACCATAATTAATGGTGAAAGATGGAGAGCTGCTTTCCTTCTAAGATAGGAATAAGATAGGATTGTCCTCTCTCAGCACTTTTTTTTTCTTTGGAAAAGAAAAAAAGACAAAGACAGAGAGAGACAGAGAGACAGAAAGCGAGAAATCACCCCCCAGGGGGGATGGCCACGCCGCAATCCCTTCTCCTCCATTCTCCTCTTGGGATCTTGGGCACGCATGCATACACGCCTGGTGTAAATTTAAGCCACTGGGTCTCGGACTTGAACTCTGGTCGACTACATGGGAGTCCAGTGACATAGCCATTACACCAACTGCTGGTCCCCACTCCCCACTCTCAGCGCTTTTATTCAGCTTCATACTGGAGATTCTAGCCAGAGCAATTAGACAAGTAAGAGAAATAAACTGTCCTCAGATAGGGGAAGAAGAAGAAAACTATCTCTACTCACACATGACATGCCATTGTCTACAGAAAATCTTAATGAATTCATAAGAACTACTGGAACTCATTTACTAACGAGTGCAGAAGGATTGGAATCCAATCAGGGCACAAAACTAATTGTGTGTTTCTCCACTAGCATTGAACAATCTCAAAATGAAATTAAAATAATTTCATTTGCAGTAGTATCAAAAAAGAGCAAACTTATATTTACAATGGAATATTGCTTAGTCTTAAAAAGAAAAGCTATTTCTGGGACCAGCAGATGGTGCAATGGTTATATTGCTGGACACCTACAGAGTTGACCCTGGTTCGAGTCCCGGACCTGACGGTTAAAAACTCACACTGGATGTGTGTACATGTGTGCCCAAACTACTGAGAGGAGAATGGAGGAGAGGGACTGCAGCATGGCCATCTCCCCTAGAGAATGATTTCTTGCTTTTTGTCTCTGTCTCTCTGTGAGTGCACATGTCCTATAGCAAAAATCTCTCTCTAAAAAAATCTTTTTGTGCATGTACACGCACCTGAGACACAGAGAGGCAGAGAAAGTGAGAAATCACCCCCCAAGGGGGTTGGCCATGTCGCAATCCCTTTTCTTCCATTTTCTTCCTGGAATTTTAGGCAGGCATGTACTTGTGCCCAGCTTGATTTTCAAGTCGCCAGGTCTGGGACTTGAACTGTGGTTGACTATGTGGGAGTCCAGAGCTTTAACTACTATGCTTCCTGCTGGCCCCACATTTTGATCAGAGAAAAGTATGAGGGGGACATTCCATGGAAATGGCTAAGTGGCTGGGAATTATGACCAAGGTATTTTCTCAGACCACACTGTGGAGGAGACTGGCCATCACAGAGGGCTCCTCAGTGATAACAGATTTTTATCTCAGAATTATTTTGAAGTTTTGGTAGGCAGTGAGGTGCTTTTCAAACTGAAGGCCACAATCTATCCATAATGGATCATAAAACCAATCTCCGTTTTTCTCTTAAATACAGCAAATTAAGTTGAAAAAAAAGTTTCAGGAAAAAAAACCCAAAAACCTATTCAATGACTGCAGTATGATATATAACCCCAGCTAGGTGCTACTTTATAGGATGTTCATTCTACTCATTGAAGCTTATGCCTAAAGATGGACTTGTGTTCATAGAAATGTATATATCAGCTGTGCTTACTATGAAAAGATTTAGATTAATTAAGATCTTTAGTGGCTCAATAAAATGTGGGGGAAAACAGTATAGAAAGAAAACATAGATACCAGAGACAGTGTGGGAGGAGAGTGGGAGATGGCAGAGGGTAAGAGACAGGGAATCAAGGACGAGGCAAAAAAGCAAAACATACAGAAAATAAGAAATGGAAAATTATTTGTTGACGATAACATGTATGCTGATGTGCTTGATTGAGCCAATATACAGTGTACTCTGGATGGAAAAATCTCATTTTGTATGTTGTAATGATGTACAGTGAATGAATGTACATAAATAAATTAAAAAAAATTAACTTAATAAATCAGAATACATTATATAGGGTAAGCATTGCTTTATGATAATTTTATTTCAGATATATAGATGCATTTACATGTACTGTACCACGGTATAAAATACAGCCCTTACTGTGGACGATTTCCAAACAAACAGAAGCACCCATCTGACTCTCCTCACAAGTGGCTTGAAAATGGTTCGCTATTCACTTGACCCAAAGAACCCCACAAAATCATTCAAATCAAGAGGTTCAAATCTTCATGTTCACTTTCAGAACACCCAAGAAACTGCCCAGGCCACCAAGGGTAGGCAGATCCGCAAAGCCACCAAGTATCTGAGAGATGTCACTTTACAGAAGCAGCGTGTGGCATTCTGACACTACAGTGGTGCAGTTGGTAGGTGTGTCCAGGCCAAACAGTGGGGCTGGGCACAGGGTCAGTGGCCCCAGACCAGTGCTGAGTGTTTGCTGCACTTGCTTAACAATGCAGAGAGTGATGCTGAGCTTAAGGGCTTGAGTGTAGGTTCTCTGGTCGTTGAGCACATTCAGGTGAACAAGGCACCCGAGATGCACCATCGTAGGGACAGAGCTCATGAGCGGAGCAACCCCTACATGAGCTCCTCTGCCACATTGAGATGATCGTCACTGAAGAGGAGCAAATTGTTCCTAAATCTGAAGGGGAAGTTTGCACAGAGGAAAGAGAAATGTCAGAAGAAACTTATGGCGCCATAGTAAATTCAACATAAAATAAATGGAGATAAAAGTAAAAGAATATTGGTTGTCGTTACATTTCAAGTGTCTTCATAATGTGGGTAAAATGAGCGGTTTATTCTGTGCCATTGATTTTGACTCATAAATGTACTGTTTTGACCTTGATGAAAAACAAAACAAAAAGCCCCACTCATTTGTTAGAAAGCACAAATGACCGTGGGAAGAAATGTTCCTAAGATAGAAACAGTACATGTAATTCACTGGAGGTTGATGGGAGCCATGACAAATCCAGCTATTATCCCTGTAGCCAACAGTTATCGTATTTCATATTTCTATTTACATCTAGGCCCTTCAGTGCTGACTTAGCAAGAGAGTCTCTTCAGATCTCTGATCCTTCTCCTCGGATATTGCGACTGTCAATAGCCAAAGGCACAGATCCAAACTATCTTCCCCCAAAAATGGTAAGTGGGTCCGTGTGAAAGAAATAGTTCCTCATGGACTTTGTTACATGCCATCCTTATATTTCTAGCTATGTATTTTCTTTTCTTCCTGTTTATTCTCCCCTCTTGTTCAACGGACTTTTCTAACTATGGTCTCCTATGCCTACTGTATCAGTCTGGATTGGAGCAGACAATCAGAACGATTATGAGTGATAAAGAATAAAGAATGTATTATAGAGATTAGCCCGTAAAGCAATTATGAGAGCTGGTGGAAAAATCTATGGAAAACTGCTATGGAAGCTGGGACTTGGATCTGGTTATAGATCTAGAAGCAGCGAGAGGACGTAGGAGTGGATCAGCGGTTTCCTGGAACTTATTAGTGTCAGGGGAAGCCATTACTGTTCTTTAGATAAGGGGAGTACAACCTCCTCAGATGGACAAGGGCTTGTTCTAATGGCTCAGAATTATGTAAAGGCTTAAAGGCCCCAGCTTCATTGGAATCTGCCCAGATATCCCCATTCTAATTTTCAAGTTCCCACTCTTTTCCAGTCTTTGCCCTAAGTTTAACATAGCAGACTGTACAAGTTTGAAACACAATTTTTACTGTAACTCACTCAGCAACAGAATTTGATTTTTGAGTTTTGTTTTTCAGAACTCTCAGCCCTGTGATCAGATAAGTGTTTCTTTTAGGGAAGTCACAGAAGCTTTCTGGTCCTTTACTTGGATCTTAAGGTAGAAATATTAAAGGCTTGGTCTGATCATTTCTTTTCTCAAGTTCTCCAGTGCACTCAGGAACAACCAACCAACCTCACTATACATTTTAATTTCGCTAAAATGTCCTTTGAGAGCAGTAGCTTGGTCACCCAAATTCTTGCTTCATATTGCCATTGCTTATCACAGACAACTAGTGTTGTTTTTGTTTGTTTGTTTTATTTTTTAACCACTAGCAATAGGATCATTAGTACCTTCAAGTCTAATCAGCTCAGAAGACAAATTCCAGATCATTTAGAATCAATATTCACCCGGCCATGTGGGTCTTCTGGTACCCTTGGGCATGTTTTTTGTATACAGAAAAGATTACTCAGAGGTATGCTCTTAATTTAAACCATTAAAGTCCTAGTTTTAAAACTTTCAATTCAGGACTGGTCCTGTAGCACAGTGGTTAAGGGAGTCAGATTCCACATGGCTGGCTGTGACTCAAATCCAGGCCAGAGTGGCTTGACAAAAATACTCTGGGCATGTGTGTGTGTGTGTGCAAGCCCGCAATCCTGGAGGGGAGGAGAAATGGCCGCAGAAGGATCGCCCTGTGATCACGGCCCACTGACAGTGCTTTCTCTCTCTCCGGCAAGTATACACGCCCTCTGGCAATTAAAACATTCAAATTAAAGACCAATTGCTTTCTTGGACTTAAGTTTATCCTTTCATGGAGTCTTATTTTTAGGTGGTGGGAGCTCTAACAGCTTTTAAGTGCCAGTTCCCGTGTCCACCAGTCAGGTTGTGGCTTGCCTCTGAGCTTCCCTTGACCAACTTTGACAGTTTGTCTTTGAGGGGGACCAGCAGTTTGTGTAATGGCTATGTCGCTGGACTCCCACGTAGTCGACCGCAGTTTGAGTCCCAGACCTTGTGGTTTAAACTCACACCGGGCGTATGTGCGTGTGTGCCCAGGATCCCAAGAGGAGAATGGAGGAGAAGGGATTGCGGTGTGGCCATCCCCCCTGGGGGGTGATTTCTCGCTTTCTGTCTCTCTGTCTCTCTCTGTCTTTTTGGCGAGCGCACGCGCCCTATAGCAAAAACCTCTCCCCCAGGGACCAGCAGTTAGCGTAATGGCTATGTCACTGGACTCCCACATAGTCAACCGCGGTTCGCGTCCCAGACCCGGTGGCTTAAAACCCATGTCAGGCACGTGTGCGTGCGTGCCCAAGATCCTAAGAGGAGAATGGAGGAGAAGGGATTGCGGCGTGGTCATCCTCCCTGGGGGGTGATTTCTCACTTTCTGTCTCTCTGTCTCTTTCTCTCTCTGTCTGCTTTATAGCAAAAAATCCCTCAAAACAAAAAAAAAAAAAAGAAAGAAAAAACCTCTCCCCCCCCAAAAAAAAGGTCAGTGTTGTTATCACAATGTAAACAACACAAGAGGGATTTGAAAAATACCTTGTATATTATTTTCCATCCACAATTAAGCTCTATGTTGTGTTCAGTCATTAATTATATTCTTGTTCAAAGCCTTGTGGTAAGTTTTAATTTTGAACACAAGGAGCTTAAAGAGAAGAGTGTATAATTCGAACAATTTCCACACTTACGACGGTGCAGAGTGACGGGTGGAGGCATTGTACCTGGTGGAAATATGTGGCCTGCCCTCCTTCTCACTGGGTTTGGTTTCTTTTTTGTATCGATTCCAGTGAGAAGAAACTCACTTCAATGCAGCTGAGACCTGTGATAATGTGTCTCAATGTCCAAAGGGCAAAATCAATTACGTACAGTATTATGTAGCACGTTAGCAGTTCAAGTGCTGGACTCCCACCTAGCTGACCATGGTGCGGGCCTTGAACCTGGTGGACTGAAATTCATGCCGAGTGTGTGTGTGTATGTGTGTATGTGCGTGTCCAAAACCCTGAGAAAAGAATAGAAGAAAAGGGATTATAGCATGGCAATCCCCCTGGTGGGATGATTTCTCACTTTCCTTCACACTCTCTGTCTCTCTCTGGTGAGCACACGTGCCTATGGCAAAAACCTAATAATAATAATAAAGATAAGGTACGATGCCGTGCCTGCCTTATGGAGTTCTCACCCGATCGTCATTCCGCACGCGGGCCTTACCCGTTCCCTCTGAGTCAGTAGACGGCCTTGTCGCTACTTCCTCTGCATCCTTAGCTGAACAGGTGAGTTCCCGAAGGGCTGACTTGGGATCTCTCCAGTCTAGTTTGAGGAAGGTGAAGATTCTCATCTTTTTGCCGATTGTGAGAAGCCAGGTCCAGAGGTCAGCCTCTACTTTGTAGTCTTTTATTTTTATTTTGAGAGGTTTTTGCTATAGGGCGCATGCACTTGCCAGAAAGACAGAGAGAGACAGAGAGACAGAAAGCGAGAAATCCCCCCCCCAGGGGGGATGGCCATGCCGCAATCCCTTCTCCTCCATTCTCCTCTCGGGATCTTGGGTATGCACGCACACGTGCCTGGCATGAGTTTAAGCCACCGGGTCTGGGACTCAAACCGCAATTGACTACATGGGAGTTCAGTAACATAGCCATTACGCCAACTGCTGGTCCCCCTATTTTGTAATCTTGATCTTGATGGTGCTTATTACTTGGTACTTACAGCTACTGTGTTATTTTTCTCCTCTAGATTGAAAACAGGGTTCCATTTTCTGCCCTGAATGCTGTCGCCACGCCCAGAATTATAGACCTTGCCCACCCGAGGATCAAGATAGAGGGTCTGTGCTACGAGAGACAGCGAAGTGAAGTGCCCATCCGCCCTGTAAGCCTCCCTGCCCCTGTCCTTCAGTGCACCTTCCGGGTGCTCTTAGGGTGCTGGTCTCCCTCTCCCGGGCATAGCCCAGGGTCACTGGAGAGGAGACTCTTGCAGGAGTGGTCTGTGGCAGGGAGAAGACCTAGCTACCTGCCATGGAGAAAGGCAGAGAGTAGAGGGAAAAAATCATGGACTATGAAGTCAGTAAAAGCAGGGTTCAAATCCCAGGCTCACCACTGTGGTGGTGGGACTGTTACAGGGTGGGAGAGTGGAGAGGTGTTAGGTCAAGATCTTTAAGATTAGAGACTCACCCTGAGGTGTAAAATGAAAAACCACAAACACTTCGAAAGTAGGAAAAGGAAAGTTTTAATAGGAAAGTGAGGATTTTTATTTATTTATTTTCCATAGGGAATGTGGTGCTCGCCAGAGAGACAGAGAGAGAGACAGTGAGAGGGAAAATGAGGAATCACCCCCTGGGGGGAATGGCCATGCCACAATCCCTTCTTCTCCATTCTCCTCCTGGGATTTTGGGCATGGACGCACAAGCACCCGGTGTGATTTTTCAAGCCACCATGTCCAGGACTCAAACCATGGTCACTGTGTGGGAGTCCAGCTCTGTAGTCACCATACCACCCACTGTCCCCAAAGGTGAGGATTTTTAATAGAAAAGAAATACACCAATACATCCCTTTGGGACCAGCAGGTGGCATAGTGGTTAAAGCACTGGCCTCTCACCTGGTAGACCACGGTTTGCTACCCAGACTTGACGACTTGAAACTCACACTGGGCACTTGTGCATGTGTACCCAAAATCCCAAGAGGAAAATGGTCAAGGGATTGCAGTGTGGCCATCCCCTCCCCCAGGGGGGAGTGATTCTCTCTTTTTGTTTCTCTGTCTTGCCAGCAAGCTCATGCACCCTAAAAGCATAGATCTCTCTCTCAGTAAAACAAAAAAGAGAAACAGACCTCCGCACCTATTCACTTTGCATGCTGTCTGTGCCAGGCTCTCAGTGAGCGGAATGTGCTCCCTGCTAGTGAGGGACAAACCAGATAAGTAAATCCATAGATCAGATTGGACACTGATGGAGAAAATAAAATAGGAGAGAGTGACTGTGGGGGCGGGGTGGCCTCTCTAAGGAAGCGACATCTGAGCCGAGACCTGAGTCACAGTGAAGGGAGGAAGAGCACGTCCCGGAGCCTGAAGTCGGGACAAGCTCGCAGTTGGGTGCAGTCAGGCGGGCAAGGAGGTTGTGAAGATTTGGTTCCCACTCAGGGTCTGTTGTGAGGGTACGGGGAGAGGCACACGGCATCCAGCACAGAGCCTGTCACCTTCAGTGGCTTCCCTCCTTCTTCCTCCTGGACATCCCTCTCCATTAGTTGTGGGCCGTCCCAGTTGGGTTTCCTTTTCTTTTCTTTATTTTTTTTTTTGTTTTTCTTGAGAGATTTTTGCTATAGTGTGTGTGTGTTCTCCAGAGAGATAGAGACAGAAAGTTAGAGATCACTCCCCAGGGAAGATGGCCATGTGGCAATCTCTTCTCCATTCTCCTCTTGGGATTTTAGGCACACATGTGCACGCACCTGGTGTGAGTTTTAAGCCACTGGGTCCGGGGCTCGAACCATGGTTGACTATGTGGGAGTCCAGCAACGTAACCATTATGCCATCTGCTGGTCCCACCAGTTGTGTTTTCAATAAATATCTAATGACTGGGACCAGCAGATGGCATCGTGTAATGGCTGCGCCACTGGACTCCCACATGG